AAAAAAAAAAAAAAAGGAAATAAATAAATAAATAAATAAATTAGAAACATAAAATGTGAGAGCAAACGATGTTACCGAAGAAGGAGAGGAAGTCCCGTATCGTAGTATTCATACCTGCTTCTACCAAAACCTTCATCTAGTCCCATCTTGTATCGAACAGTGTCACCGAAAATCCGCCTCCCGCAAGTATCACATAGTTGCTTGTAGAGACAATCAATATCATCTACCCAATTATAAGGAACTAATTTATTTATGCCCAAAAACAAGTCACATGCAGCCATCTATAGTATGTGGTGCCATAGTGACGAGCAAGAAACTCAAAAGCTTGTTGCGACATCAACAACTACTATGAAAAGCCCGATCATACAAGGAAAGATATCCAATTATCATCAATTGTCATCACAACAAGAGGCTCCTATGGACATCATCCGAAATGACATCGCACAAATCTTCATGTTAAATCCAATCCAATCATATCTTGCGTATTTCCCTTGACTTGCGAGCAATGCCTTGACCAAGCAGACCTCAAGAGCAACCACCACCAACAGGCATCAGACAAAATATGTGTTATGCATGGGAAACCCCAACACATAGAAAAACAGCGGACTAGCAAGTTTCATCATTGAATCATAATAAAAAGGATGGGTGGACAAAACATGGGGTGATATTGAGTTGTGTATTGGGAAAAAAAAAAAAAAACTGCCACATCATTGTGGGTGGAGACAAAGATAGTGTAGCATAGTAGGGGTGGGGTACTCATAAATGCCTCAGACACTCCCTAACATATCACTTACTTTAGCTCATCAGAGGTCAATAAATATACTACACTCGCAACTCGACCACCACTTGTGAGCTTTATGGGATGCATACACTTGTATATAAAAGGAGGGAGAGGTCATTCAGGGAGGACAATGAACAATCGCGTTCGCCTCCGACATTGCTTTTGTGGCGCCTTCTTTAGCAAAATGTTGTTCCAACATCTCGCTGATGTTGTATGAGAATTTCATTGTAATCATGTCACCCGACTATCAGTGAGTAAAAATGGAGAGACATACGTTCGAAACGCAAGATGATTATGCTTCAATGGGAGCAAGATCAAGAGAGAATGAGATGGCAATGGAGAGGAAGGCAGCTCAAACTAGCAGAAATGAGGATGGTGTGCATGACAACTTGAAGGAGAATGTAGTCATGAAGGAGAGCATTGTGTCAGCGGCCTGAGGGGTCGTGGGGGTTGGGAATTTGCGATAACCTCGGGAGGTCACCGCACAGTCCCTTTCTTGTTTCGAATCAACCTGTAGAAATGGAAAGAAGTTCGAAGACGAAGATATTGCCAGGAAATGCAATCTCGCAGACTGGAGCAGTCGAATAGGACCCAAAATCCAGGTGGTCGTAACCTTGTCTGTTGCGAAATGGGGAAGTAGTGTGACCTGTCCAGCCATTATTTTCTCAAATTGGGCATCCCATTTTCACGATTTCGGGTACGCAGTGTGAGTGTGCCCTTAGGATCACAAAACAGACATGGGGCTATGGGCCTTGTTGGACACCACTTGAACTCAAGGGTTGACGAAAAAGTCTTCGTACCACCCCTTCCTAATGACCCCGCCATAATGTTTCCACTTTCCTGCTCTCAAGTGTGCATACTTGAAACTCAAGTACCGGTGGGGCAAAATCGCACTTGAACTCAAGGTACCTCCCGGAGCGGAGGTACCTTGAGTTCAAGTGCCAGCGGATACCGCCAGCACTCCAAGTGGGGCTTTCTTTTTGTTTGTCTTTTTTTTTTTCCAGCAGGCGATCCTGGTCCAGGATTGGTCAAGCCGTGGAGTTCGGTTTCTAGTGCAGCCTGTTCAAGGGTTTCCTCAAGTGTACATGGAACCATAAATCTCTCCTCCTTTGACACCACTGGAAAATACTTGAGTTTCAAGTGCACACTAAACTAGAAATTGTTCAAGGGTGTACATGGAACCATAAATCTCTCCTCGTTCGACACGGCTTGAAAAACTTGAGTTTCAAGTGCAGATTAAATGAGAAATTGTGAGTAGCTTACACTAACTTGATTAGCCTGTTCAAGGGTTTCCTCAAGTGTACATGGAACCATAAATCTTTCCTCGTTCGACATCACTTGAAAATACTTGAGTTTCAAGTGCACACTAAATGAGAAATTGTTCAAGGGTTTCCTCGAGTGTACATGGAACCATAAATCTCTCTTCGTTCGACACCACTTGAAAATACTTGAGTTTCAAGTGCACACTAAACGAGAAATCGTGATTAGTTTACACTAACTCGATTTATGGTTCCATGTACACTTGAGGAAACCCTTGAACAGGCTGCACTTCAAACCTAACTCCATGGCTTGACCAATCTTGGACCAGGATGGCCTGCTGGGAAAAAAAGAAAAACGAAAAAAGAAGCCCCACTTGGAGTGCTGGCCGTATCCGCTGGCACTTGAACTCAAGGTACCTCCTGGAGGTACCTTGAGTTCAAGTGCGATTTTGCCCCAGCAGCACTTGGGTTTCAAGTATGCACACTTGAGAGCAGGACTTCGAAGTGAAAACATTACGGGGGAAGGTCATTAGGGAGGTGTGGAACGAAGAATTTTCCTTCAATGTTCCTTCAACCCTTGAGTTCAAGTGGTGTCGAACGAGGCCCTCTGTCTCAGCTGCTCGAATGGATCTCAGGGGCTATATTGATTGATCTGTTCATGAGTTTATTTTTTTTTAGTTTAGATTCCAGCGAATGACATTTTGCTCAGAGACGTTGATTCAAATCGAGCTGCGACCTTTTTCCACTTCCATCCGGAGGTAATTGCAGTCAAATGCATCCAGGCCGGGTGTGAAAAGGGACCATTTTTTTTTTTTAAAGAAAAAGGAAAAGCGGTCATGGGCATAAGTAAAATCCCCTGCTGTCAATGTGCCGTTAGTGCCACAACTTGCTACCGGTAGTAATTATGAACGGCGGCAGCATGAATGCCCCCCAGCTACCGGTAGCAGAGCAGAGCAGAGCAGAGCAGAGCAGAGCAGCTGGTCTGGGTCCGCATGCGACGAGAACCATCGGACCTGCCGTTGTTCGAGGTCCACAAAGGCGGTGGGGCTACCTAGCCTGCGGGACTATCAATCTCTTGAAACCATCAGAACCAGCTGCCGAATCCAGGTCCAGGGTGGATCGCTGCGGTTCCAGGTCCACGAAGCAGCCGCAGAGCACCGCTACCGGTAGCTGTATAGTCCGTGCTCGTTGAGAGTCTATTAATCGATTGTGAACCATCAGGGCCAGTGGCTGTTCCAGGTCCACGAGGCAGCGGCAGTGTCTATCAATCGCTTGGGAACCATCAGGTTCAGTTGCTGTTCTACGTCCACGACGCAGCGGCAGAGTCTATCAATTGCTTGTGAACCATCAGCCTGAGGTGCAGTAGCTGTTCCAGGTCGACGAGGCAGCGGCAGAGTATCGCTACCGGTAGTCCGTACTGTCGGCGATTGATAGAGTCTATCTGTCAATCGTTCGTCATCAATCAGGACCAGCGGCTATTCCAGGTCCAGAGTATCGCTACCGGTAGTCCGTACTGTGGCAGAGTATCGCTACCGGTAGTACGTACTGTCGGAAGAGTATCGCTACCGGTAGACCGGTAGTCCGTACTGTCGGCAGAGTATCGCTACCGGTAGTCCGTACTGTTCCAGGTCCACGAAGAAGCTGAAGAGAAGTGTGCCGCTGCTAGTGGCGAAGATCAGGTGTGGGAGTGGATGTGGAAGTGGGAGTGGGAGCGGGAGCGACCAGTGATCAGGAACGAACGACCGGCGGTAGAAGTTAGCAACGGCGACCGGTCGCAGCCATGAAGATCAAAACCATATCCCGATCAGAGGAGGAGTTTACCAGAGAGAGAACCAATGACTTGCGGGTAATTAACTTCACTACTGGATTGATTGCTTGATTGATTGACTGATAGCTACTGTAGTCTCGTGGCGGGAAATGCAAAAGAAGGGGACACGTGGCATGCATAGAGTAATCCCCTCCACGTGATCGTTAATTATCTTCTTTCTTCTTCCATTCCTCCTCCCCTCCCCCACCCCCACCAAACCCTCTCCTCCTCCTCCTCCTCCTCTTCATTTTGTACTGCCGTCCTAAGATGTCCTCTTCTCGACCATGCGGTTTTCATTTCCTCCGTCTCTCTCCTCTCTCTTCTCTACTCCTGCCCCTCCTCCTCCCCCTCCTCCTCCTCCTCCCCCTCCTTCTCCCCCTCCTCCTCCTCCTCCTCCCCCTCTTCCTCCTTATCCGGAGAAAAATAGAGGGAAGAGGGGAGGAGAGGGATAAATATATAGGAAAGATTGCTCAAATTATTGGACCTGTTATGGATATTTCTTTCTTCGCAGGACGAATGCCTAATATTTACAACTGTTTGACTGTCAAGGGGAAAAATGCTTCAGGGGATTTCATCGATCCTCCTCCTCCCCCTCTTCCTCCTCCTTATCGTCCTCCTCCCCCTCTTCCTCGTCCTATCCTCCTCCTCCTCCTCCTCCTCCTCCTCCTCCTCCTCCTCCTCCTCCTCCTGCTCCTCCTGCTCCTCCTCCTCTTCCTCCCCCTCTGGCTGTGTTCCCATTGCCACTCTGATTGTCCTCTTCAAGACCATGAGGCTTCCATTTTCTCTCCTCTCCTGTTTCCTCTCCGCCCCACTACTACCGTCTTCCCCCCAACATAACGCACCCTGAAAATGAACGTATACAAGGTCTGTGTCCGGCCCGATACAGTCAAAAAGAGGGTGCGTTGTGTTCGGGGGAAGACGGTAGCACTTCTCTACCTCCTTAACCTCCTTCTCCACCTACTCTTCGTTTTCCTCATCTCCTTCTTCACGTCTTTGTCGTCTGTGTCTTGCGTTTCCCCTCTGCTCTGTGTCCTTCCCGCGCTTTCCTGTCAGATCACCTTTCCCGCCTTTCCGGCAAGTGGCTGATCACCTCCCCTCCTTTTTTTTTCCCGGGAAAACGTTACCCCTCTGTGTTTTGCGTTACCCCTCTGCTCTCTGTGTGTTTTGCGTTATCCTGGTGTGGCTGGATATGACACTTTCCCGGGAAAAAAAAAGGGGGAGGGGAGGAGGAGGAGATGCATTCCCCGGCGTTATTGCGAAAGTCCGTGGCACGCAGGAATATCCGCCTTTTCAATTATCATGGATTAATTAATTACTAGTAATTAATTTATTACTGTAGTTTATTACGTAATTACCAGCGTCTGGTGTAGCCGACGAATTTAAAAACGATCTCTTTTTTAAATATTTTTTTTCTTCTTCTTCGGAGTGTTCTACTTGATGTAGAAAGGAAAAGGCGACCGATCCCTCCGGCTGCAATGTAGCATTTCCGGGATGTATCTGACTGCAGCTAGGACTAGATTCAGTCATTAAATGCCAAGTGCGAAAATGGTCTGAGCCCCAGATTAGGCAGAGAGGCTAAAAGAACAAGAAGGAAGAGAACGTTCGGGAAAACAAGGGGAAAAAAAAAAAAAAAAACGAAAACGAAAAAAAAGGAAAAGAAAGGAAAAAAAAGAAAAGGGAAAAAAGGGGAAAAAAAAAACTTTTGATAAGGAAAAAAAGAAAAAAAAGGAGAGAACTTTCGAGATGTACACGTGTCAACGTTCGGCTTCTCCACAGAGTCCACAAAGGCATCTGGCGAGACGGGCATTTTTATTTTGTATTTTTATTCTTTTTGACGCCCCTCTTGTTTTTATGGGGGGCGGGAGGGGATGGCGGGGACCCCCACCCACAGAGTCCAGAGAACGCCGAAATCGCAGCCCGGAACGTCGAAGTTAAACCCCCAAAGGAGTAGTAATTAATCCGGTCGATCGATCGATCAGTGGTTAATGAACGAGGTCATCGATCGACTGGATTAATCAAAGTAATCAATGTAATCAAAGTAATCAAAGTAATCAAAATCTCGAAACGGCACGATCGTTCATTGGGTAGTCCGGTTGATCGATGATATAGAGTAATTAACTGGAATGGGAGAATTTGATTAATCCAATCAGTCGATCGATCGTATTCCTACGCCGGTCAATATTCCGTCGACCCTAAGGTGGTGGGTATATGGATTATTAATATTAATATTATTATTATTATAATAAATGTAAATCGGTTACTATTGTATATTTATGAATGGGTTTGATTGTTTGAAGTCGGCTGTCGATCTTGATGATTTGATGGAGGTATGATGGATGTATTGGATCCGATTGCATCGCTATCCAGACCGATGACCATTTGTCGAGAGTCGATCTCTCGATCTCTCGATCTCTCGATGGGGGTTGCCGACGGTAAACCGTAGGCAGAGAGGGACAAAAGGGAGAAGAGGACAACAAACGAGGGGCTGTGACAGACTGTTTCGTTGGAAGTTTCACCGACGACTCAGTTGGCTGAACCCTGGTTCAGCCTCCTGATGAGTGAGTCGGTGAAACTCCGACGAAACAGTTTCGTCACAGCCCCTCGTTTGTTGTCCTCTTCTCCCTTTTGTCCCTCTCTGCCTACGGTTTGCTTTCGGCAGCTCTGTTTGACGATATACCTATATTATATATTAATATATAAGAAACAAATAACAACATTGAAAGTCAAACATAATTGTTGTTATTTTCCTGTTAATTAAAGTGAAGAAAGTAGTCCGTTTTTCTCACTTACATTGCATTGCATTGCCTCCAACTTAGGGGCAACCATCACCAATGTCTTTTAATCTACGTGAGCATACCCTCTTTTCTGTTATCGTCGGTCACCACTGGAAAGCCGGGTCTGATCTGGCGCGGTCGGCCCGTGATTGACGAGCGATCGCTGTCGACGTGGCAGAGTAGGCTGTCGGCAAGACAAAAAACCCGGCAGATTCTTATCACATATGATTACCGCGCTCATCGTGGTTATGTGTTGAGCTTTGTTGGTCACGACTGACGCTGCTTTTTCTATCACCAAGACAAAAAACTCGGCAGATTAGCATCAACACGACGTCGAGAGGGGGCAGATGAAGAAGAAGAAGCAGAAGAAAACGACGACGACGACGACGACGACGACGACGACGACGACGACGACGACGACGACGACGAAGAAGAAGAAGAAGAAGAAGAAGAAGAAGAAGAATGTAGAAGAAGAAGAAGGGGAGGAAGAATAGTGATAAACAGAGAGGCCATAGACTGTCCTTCGTGCATGCTTCGACAGAAAATTCCATGCTCAAGTCGCACGCACTGAGCAAAAAGAAAAGAAGAAAAAAAGGAACAAATTGCCGAAGAAAAGAAAGAAAGATAGGGTGTGTCATTTGCTTTGTTTGACTGATAGGCCTTCCTCTTGAATCTTTTCTCTTTCTCTTGCCTTTGTGAGGTTTGGTTTCCTCTTCTCCTTTTCTTTACCTCTTTTTTGCCTTTTGGCTGCGTGCAAGCTGCGACACATGGGGATGGGGGCAGCCGGCGCTCAACCTGTCATCCACGTGGCCGGCGTTGTACGTAAGAGGTGATGAACAGGCGGAGCTTTCCTTCCTTCTTTCCTTTTTGTTTTGTTTTTTTCTCGCTTTTGAGCTCTCCGATATACGGTGTGACGATATACGATATATATAACTTCGTGACAATATATATATCGTCACATGAATATCAGAGCGCAAAGGCCCAAAAAAACAGAAAAAAAAAAAAAAAAAACTCGTTTTTTAATCTTCTTCCTTACAAGACTCCCCCTGTTCAGAACCTCTTGCGTACAAGGCCGCCCACGTGGATGTAGGTTGAGCGGCGGCTGCCCCCACGCCCGTGTGTCATATCGACCCACTTGCACACAGCCAAGGGCAAAGAGGCAAAGAAAAGAGGAAGGGAACAGCTAAATACAACAAAACAGGGGGCAACAAGCAATACCACCAAAAACGGATCCTAGATGACAAGTCCCACATGCAAGCACCGCCCCTCCTTCACAGGCCTATATACAGCAGATGGCCTTGTTCGTCATCAAGACGTGGGTATTATTCCCATTTGTAAACCATTCTTACTGGGACAAAAAACATAAAAGACAATACCAGATGACGATTCCCACATGAAAGCACCGCCCCCTCACACAGGCCGAACAACGGGAAGCAACCAACTAGGATGCCAAGACAATAAAAAAGAACCCGAATGACTGGTCCCACGTGAAAGCACCGCTACGCTCGCCGAAATAGACCGAACAACGAGACCAAACCAACCGGGATGCAGACAAGGTTACCAAAACAAGTAAGTTCTACCATATCCATAGTTAAAAAAAAAAAGAAAAAAAAAAAGGGGAACCATACAGTAGGTCCGCAAAACGAAATACCCCATAAATGGGGAAGAATAAAGCAAAACAAGGAGAAATGGTAGCAAGAGAATTAGGAAAGCCAACTGAGGAGTCGGTGAAACTTCGACGAAACTTTCTGTCGCAGCCCCTCGTTTGTTGTCCTCTTCTCCCTCCCTCTCTGCCTACGGTTCACCGGGCAGTTCTGTTTAACTATATATGTATATATCGTCACACTGTGAATCAGAGCGCGAAGGCGAAAAAAGCAAAAGAAGTGAAGGAAAAGAAGGAAGGAAGGAAAGCCCCACCTGGTCATCACCTCTTACGTACAAGGCCAGCCACGTGGATGACAGGTTGAGCGCTGGCTGCCCCCATCCCCGTGTGTCACAAGGACCCACTTGCATGCAGCCAAAAGGCAAAGAAAGACGTAAAGAAAAGGAGGAGGAAACCAGACCTCACAGAGGCAAGAGAAAGAGAAAGGGATCCAATCAAAGAAAGGACAAGGGAAGAGGAAGGCCTATCAGTCAAACAAAGCAAATGACACATCCCACAGATAAACCAATTGCCACTGTCACTACACGGTTCAACATAGATTTTTGTCTTTTTTCTTGTTTTCTTTTTCCTTTTCTTCAGCAATTTGTTCTTTTTTTTTCTTGTTTTCTTTTCGTTTTTTTTCAAAATTTTCTTTCTTCTTTCTTCCTTCAACTCCACATCTGTTGGTAGTATCTGTATAGCTTTATCTGTCCTACAATTACTGTTGCTCCTGACCTGCTTGATTCTACTATTGACCAGTCAGAAAGAGGAGCCCCCACCCAAGCAGATAGGACAAGCACGCTGAGGATCACGTGGATGTTCACAAGAATACCCAAGGAGAGCTGCGCCAGCACAGCATTTATGTCTATGTAATTTCTGTGGAACTGTGGAGTTCTCGTGGGTGTAGGATGCTGGACAGGGCGGCATAGAATGGAATGGATTGGAATTTCCATGCCCCCCCTTAAGGGATTATGCTTGAACCCACAGGAGGGGTTACACCGATCCGGAAAATGCACGGCCCGGGATCGTGGTCCATAGGAGCTGGGGATATTAACAATGATGAAGTTGCTCCCGGACGAAAACCAGGGAGAAAGGAGGAGGAATACATGATTTCGGAATAGTCTGCAGTGCTTGATTACTTTGCGGTGACGGTGATGTTAGGACCGATGAGGACGACCACGAAGAAGAAGAAGAAGAAGAAGAAGAAGAAGAAGAAGAAGAAGAAGAAGAAGAAGAAGAAGAAGAAGATCATGAGGAAGAGGACATGTATGACGGAGATGGACATGATGTCAATGATGATGATTATGATGATGATTATGAATGAGACGGAGATGGACATGATGTCAATGATGATGATTATGATGATGATTATGAATGAGACGGAGATGGACATGATGTCAATGATGATGATGATGATGATGATGATGATGATGAGGAGGAGGAGGAGGAGGAGGAGGAGGAGGAGGACGAGGGGGAGGAGGGGGAGGATGAGAGGGAGGAGGGTATCGATGATAAGGATGGGAATTTTATGAAGAGTAGTAGGAGGAGGGAGAGGAAGGAGGGAGGAGGATAGTCCTATCAATCTCTATCTCACCCTCTCTCTCCCTCACCCTCGGCGGCCATAAGGTGCATAATGTTCCCAGATGCCAGCCGACCATCTCTAGCTGGAGAAGCGGTTAATGGAAGGCCCAAATTTCGGCGAATTTTGGCGAAATTTTCACCGAAACTGCTACATTTTCCTGAATTTTTACTTTTTTCTTTGTTTTTATTTTTGCTTGATACGTATCGCATCCTCTCGTGTTGGGGTTGACCATCCTTTCTTACCCTTCTTTTAAAGCAACGTTGTGTTTGAGGGGCAGCACTTTGCCTATCTGTGGGTTTGACGAAAACATTCCTCCCTGTCACAACAGAGCTGGAAGCTATCACACCGCGGGGTATGATGTACACAGCATGAAGTGGTCGTTGAGGTGCATCTCAACAGGGTTGTCAGAGTCTTTCCTAATTTTCAGAGGAGGGGCGATGAGTAGGTTGCCGGTTCGCTGTCAACTTTTTCTACAATCTCATGCGTTCTCTTCTTAGTTCTTTTGGAATGGAAATTACTCATGTTATGCACTACGCTGTGTGTGTGTGTGTGTGTGTGTGGGTGTGTGGGTGGGTGTGTGTGCGTGCGTGTGTGTGTGCGTGTGTGTGTGCGTGCGTGTGTGTGTGCGTGTGTGTGTGTGTGTGTTGGGGGGGGGGGTGATTATACTCATGTATTGTGGGATGCGCTGTGGTGGGATGTGGTGCCGTTATCACAACGTGGTTGTTGCTTGTTTGCCGTATGCAGAAAGTCTTCCGGAACCTGGACCCCAAACTCCACCCAATGGAGAAAGCCCATGAATACACGCGAGCGCTCACGGCAGTCAAATTAGATAAGGTAAGTGCTGCTGAGTACTACGAGTTCTAAAGTAACGGATAAGCCATGTATAAAATCACGGGATAACTGCACTGGATTAAGCTAGTCTGAACTAACGTAGAGACATCTCACTGAATCTGTTACACCTCACACGTTCTCGCTCATCTTTCCCACCTCTCGCATACCTCATACACCTTAAACACATAATTGTCTAAGCCCTGCCCCGGCCTTTGTGGTGCGTGTCCCCCCCCATTTGCTCCTTTCCTGAAGGAGGGCGAGATACAAGCAACACACACACACACACACCCCGACACACACACACTCCGACAGACACAGACAACCCGATGAAACAGTCTGACACATACATGAGTTTTTTTTGTGGAGTTGTGTATAGCGAACATGACAACACACACACACACACACACACACACTCACACACACACACACACACACACACACACACACACACACACACACACACACACACAACCACAACCTCCTGACAAGTCGACTAAAGTCCAAAAGGAAGATCTGGCACAGTTCGCCTTCGTTTGTGGAGGTGACTTGTTCAGAACACACACAATCATAATGTCTAAAAGTTTTTTTCTTCGCCTTGTTTATCTTCTCCACAATCGTATACTATCTATAACTTCTTTTCTCCACTTTGTTTTTGTGTTGTCGCACTGGCCTCTTTCGCTGTCCTTCTCACTTTCCCAATGCAGCACCTTCAGGATGTGCTAAACAGTCAGTGCTTTCGCTTTACAAGTCCCTGCAACACTCTTAGGGTGGCGGCTGTGTTCGAAATGCTTGTGTCTCTGTGTTCTCTGGTCGTGCCAGACTTTCGTCAAGTAGTGACTCCCTGACTCTCGATGGTGGTGTGAACCTACAGTCTGTAGAGCTCTACTTGTGGTGTAAGTGATAGTCCGCTGTGGTCCGTGATGCATGTTTGGACTGCCCTTTCAGTTCTTCCCTGGTGCTTGCACGCCGCTTGCCTTGCATTGCCTTGCTACCCTGCCCCTTGACCTCACTGTTTGTCTGCTTGCTTGCCGTACCTGCCCCTCTATCCATCTGCCCACCCGCTTGCCTTGTATATGTTTGTGTAGTTGCCCTGCTGTCTGCCTCGTTACCTGCTCCCCTGCTTGCTGGACTGTGTGCCCTGCGGTCAATTCCCTCATGTGCCCTGCTGTCGATTCCCTCATGTGCCCTGCTGTCAATTCCCTTGGTGCTTTGTCGTTTGCCTCTGTGCAGACCCGCGACCTCTCTGAACGGCCGCTTGCTATGTTCCTTAGCATATCATCATCTTCTTCTTCTTTTTTTTTTTTTTTTTTGTTAGCAATAAGGTTTGTATTTATATATATAAAGCAAAAGGAGGCTGGGAATCCTTCCAATCTAAACCCGGAATACTGTGGCCAATACCCAGCTTGGGCTTTTACTGGAAAACGGGTCCAGTGTCCCGATCTCCCCTAGCTACTCCTCCACCTAATTTTCGCAGACGGCCCCACGGGAGGTCAGCTAAGAGAGAAAAAGTAATGAAAGCCAACCGGAGGCTACTTACTCATCCTGGAAACTAGTTTGGGTCTCATTAGCGTCTTCCTGTCTTTTTTGCTCCAGTGCAGATGGATAATTGGGCATTCTTTCTTTTCGGTGAATGTGAGTTTTTTGCTTGGCCACGGCGTCTTCATGATGGACAGTAACTGCTTCGAGTGTGATCTCCGCTGGCTGCCATTTCCATCACATGAAGATCAGGGGGGGGAGAGAGAGAGAGAGAGAGAGAGAGAGAGAGAGAGAGAGAGAGAGAGAGAG